TCAGAGCTCAAACTCACCTCAGACTCCGAAACTGTGGATGTTTGTTTAGTATCCCGGTCTGCGCCACACGCGGTCTGCACACGGCACCACACGCACACGCGTTGTGTTTCCATAACTTCAGGGGACATCACATTGACTTCCTTCAGTTCCTGGATACTTACCCTAACCCAGTGGTTCTCAAACATTTTCTGTCATTCCCCACTTAAGGGGGTGGGTCATTTTCAAGCCCCACTTGTCACCAAAATGATAATGAAGTCGGCCAATTTCAAATGTACTGAAATATCAAATAACACCAAGTTCAAAACAGATAAAATATAAATGTAACTATCGTTTGACAGAGGGATAGTTTTCAACTTGGCAGCACTTGTTTCATCCTGCATAACCGACACCATGTCTACAGCAGCAGGGAGAAGGAGCTGCTCAGCTATTGTGTGGTTTTTTACTCTAAAATGTGATGATGTAGTTATGGAGACTTGCTTTTTGTCCCCATAAGGACGCCACGTCCCCACAATGTCACTTTGTAAACAGATTTACGTCCCCGCAACGTTTTGCTGCATTTATGGTCGCTGGAAATACCGATGTTAGAATCTGTCACACTACTGATTTATGCAGAACATGGGGCTTGAAACGTAGCTAAACATGTGGCTTGTTAGAAATAGACGGCGTTAGCACTTGTAGGCCACATAAACTCTCACCTGTGTCTAGACACATTTTGGATACGAGAGAAAAGTGGCCACACAGATGGTGAAGCCAGATTTTACAATGATCCTTCTTATGACTTTTGCTTCATATCAAGTCGGTAATCACATGTACACGGTGTGTAATACGTTCAGGCAGCTCATTGATCCAAATCTAATCTGTAACTCACTGTTAAACTGTAATTAATTAAAGGTCACAAATTATGCTCGTTTTCAGGTTTATTATTTAAAGGTCCTACTAGAAAAGCTTTACACCTTTTTATGTTCATAAAGTTCATTTCCGTGCAGATTCTCAGTCGTCCAGGTCATAGTAAGCTGAAAAAACTTATAATAATAATGATAATAAAGCTTTATTTATATAGCACTTTACAACTCCGAGGAGCACAGAGTGCTGCACAATAAAACATGTGTAACAAATAGAAAACATTACTAAAACAATAGAAGCTAAACAGAATAAAACACACATTTACAAAACAGGAGCTATAAAAACGTCCATATCAAGATACAAATAGCATAAGACAAGATAAACGACGTCCCTTCGGGCCAAGGAAAACAGATTCAACACCACAGGCCTGTCTAAAAGAGGTGAGCTTTTAAGGTTGACTTAAAAACCGCTAAGTCGGTTATGGTCGGTTATCTAGGGCCATACACGGCAAAAGAGCGATCGCCCCTTTTTTAATATCGAGACTGTGGGACAACCAAGGACAGATGCTCTGAGGAGCGCACAGCTCTGCGCGGAGCATAGATAGACAGCAGATCCGACAGGTACGGCGGAGCGAGGCCAAGCCCTAAAAACTAATAGCAGGATCTTAAAACCAAGTCTAAACTGTACTGGCAACCAGTGTAGGGAGAGAAGGACGGGGATGGTGTGGGCATACCTGGGGGTGTTCGACAGTAGTCGAGCCGCATCGTTCTGGACCAGTTGGAGCTTCCGAACAAGAGACAGAAATTCCATCATAGAGGGCATCACAGTAGTCTAGTCATAAAGTGATCAAAGCATGGATGGCTTTTTCTAAGTCTGCACGCGACAAGAAGGGCTTCACCTTCCTTAAAAAAAAGCAGGTGGTAACCACGGACCTGATCTACTTATCAAAATTGAGGCCACTATCAAATATCACTCCAAGGTTTTATCTGTGAGTGAGGGGGCTGAAGCACCTAACCTGGACACAACAGCGGCTGGATCGGGGCTAAAGACGATGGACTCAGTCTTGCTCTCATTTAGGTGAAGGAAATTCTGGGCGAGCCATTGCTTAATATCACGAATGCAATTATTTAGCGGAGTAAGTGCGTTCGAATCAGCGGCACGTAAATCTGAATATCATCCGCATAAAAATGAAAATGAACATTATGCCTTGATATGATAGAACCAAGTGGTGACATATATAAAGAAAACTTAAGATAATCAACTGGACTAGATTTCTAGGTGGAAGACGTTTCACCTCTCATCCAAGAGGCTTCATCAGTTCTGACTGACTGGTGTTGAGCCGGAGATATTTATCCCCCTCACTAGATTTTTAGGTCGAAGACATTTCACCTCTCATCCAAGAGGCTTCATCAGTTCTGACTGACTGGTGTTGATCCGGAGATATTTATTTGTTTCAGTCCTTTGAAGGCCAACAATGTCCCTTAACGACTGAGCTGTTATAGTCCAGTATCGGTGAGAGTTGTTACCTGTCTTTGGATCCTCCCCTGTCAACCGACACCTATTGCCCTGGTGGGCATGTTTGGGCAGGGATCTCAAAACCGGGTTGTAGATGGAAAACAAGTTGTGTCTTAGTCCACCACCCCTATTTAGTGAGGGGTGTTCTAGTTTTACGAAAATAGCTTCCTTAACTCCTCTCTCAAACCAGTGATGTTCTCTGGAGAGGATCTGGACTTCACTGTCCTCAAAAGAATGTCCTTTGTCCTTCAGGTGGAGGTGGACTGCTGACTCTGGTCCACTGGAGTTGGCCCTCCTGTGCTGACCTTTTTTTTTCAGCATAAAGTTCATTAGTTTCCTGAGTTTCCAGTAGCGTCAAACCCTGTTTCACCTGTGTGAACAGTTTTAGCTCCTGGCCCCTCCCTAAAAGCCCAGTCTGCTCTGATTGGTCAGCTCCCACTACGCTGAACGGGAGCCGCCTATCAACACCAATCCGTGTTTCCGGTGGGCGGCTCGGGTCTTCAGTGTTAGCTCGGCTAACGTCGTTAGCCACAGTTAGCTGTATTTCTACCATAAACGTCACCATAACAACCGCTTCCAACTAAAAACTAAGCAACCACAGATGTTCGAGCGGACTGCTACTGTCACACATGGGCTGTGTTGTCTAACAGAGAAACACCAGTAACATGTTTACACTAAGCTTTGTGCTGTTACAACTTCGCTAGGTAAATATGCGAAACCCTAACCCTTTCTTCTATAAAAAATAACAGTAAGGTCTAAACCTTCCTTGGTAAAGTGTCCTGAGACGACTTTTGTTGTGATTTAAACTGGATATACTGAAATAAAACTGAATTTGAATTGCTTTGGAAAATGGTTTGTTTTGGACAATGTTAATCAGCCACACTGGCGACATCTGCTGGCCAAATGGATGTAAAAAATACGAAACTTTTTCACAATTATTGTGTGTAAATAAATTGACAATCATAGATCATCAATGCAGTTTTTATTTTACACTTATAGATGTGTTATATACGAGTAAGTGTGTATAGGCTGCCTTCATTTGGGTATGGAATAAATTTAACTGTATTTATGGAAAATAGGCCTGGCTGTGTGTGCCCGCTTTTTTTTTGTTAATTAGCAGCATTATGGACAAATGGCCGGATGGATCATCTGCATACATTGTACAGACATTGGTTGGGGTGGTCTTGGTGGTATAATTGTCCAATCGCACACTGGGCTATATGGCTACACATTCCTTATGTTTTTTATATGTAGAGTGGTCTGTTTCTTCAATCATACTCTAAAAAAAAAACAACAAAAAAAAACAAACAAACAAACAAAAAAAAGCATCTGGAAATCAAACGTTTTTTTCCCCACTGACACTAATGCAGAAGAAATAACCACCTAAGAAATGTTCTACAGTGCTTGATAGCTAAAGGCTCTGCCTCCCATTCTACTTCTGTGGACTCTAGGAACCACAAGTAAACCTGCACTCTGAGAGCGAAGTGCTCTTTTAGGATGATAAGGCTCTACGAGGTCTTTAAGATACGATGGAGCCTTGTCATTAAGGGCTTTGTATGTTAGGAGAAGGATTTTAAATTCTATTCTGAATTTTACAGGGAGCCAGTGGAGAGAAGCTAAATATGGTAGAGCTGTGATCTCTCTTGCTAGTTCCTGTCAGTACTCTGGCTGCAGCATTTTGGATTAACTGAAGGCTTTTTACTCCTCCACTTGAGTAAAAGCGGAGGAGTTCAAGTATCTCGGGGTCTTGTTCACGAGTGA